GGTACAGATAATTAGATACAGCTGGCTCAGGAATCAATATTACATTGCTCCTAGTGTTCACAACAAATCTGGAATATTATCCAAAGATAGTAATGATTGTATTTTCCTCACTTAAACATACCAAATAAATTCTTATCTGTTATTATCCAAAGATAGTAATGATTGTATTTTCCTCACTTAAACATACCAAATAAATTCTTATCTGTTTTTCAAAACTTTGTCACAAGAAGCTTCATTATTTTTCATGCCATTCCATTTTGCAGTACAAGATTTCCACATGCACACTTAGAAAATTTGTTGTTGTAAGGGAAAGACAGTCTAGGTTAACATGCATCTCATGGAATGTTAATCTCTAGCTAAATTACTGTATTAAAACTCAGATAAAACAATCCTATTAAAGAGTAGCAAAGTATTTAGATTTCACTTATCAAAGAGAAAACCAAACATATATGTAGCAGTTATTAACAAAAAGTGCACATCATAGATGTCTCCCAATAGGTTATTCTTCCATATTCTTTATGAAGTACAGGCCATTCAGTGAGTTAACTTTTTTCAAGTTTAAATTTTAAAGTTATATTTACACAGTTAAAAATTTACTTACGGCTATGATGTCAATCAATGACGAAAAGAAAAGAATATCTTTATTAACTTCCACTTCTTTTTTTGTCCTTAGAGTAATTCCATTTCCTTAAGAATAGAGAGCTAAGAGAATGTAAGTAGAATATAAGCAATGTCACTCTTTATATCACCAGTAATTAAAAGTTTATTAAATGCTTACTGTGTTCAAGATGCCTTGTGTGGAGAAAAGAAGAGTGTAATATAGAATTATAACTATAACTCTAAATGACCAAAACTGGCTTACAATTTTCTTTCATTGTTTCTTTCTCCTTTTTCTTTTTCTTTTTTCTTTCTTTCTTTTTTTTTGTGAGTTATGAGAAATTATCTTTCCCTACTAAGAATTATCAATGTAAAAAAGCAAAATTTCAAATTTGAATGCTTAAGTTCTTCTTGCTTTCTATGGTCAAATTCAAATCCAAAGACTATTTCTAAGAGAACTGGGTCCTACCTTTATCCTCCCATCCTATACCACATCCTATCTATAAGGTTCTATTGTATTATATTTTATTTTTAAAAATATTTTATTTACTTATTCATGAGAGACAAAGAGAGAGAGAGGCAGAGACAGAGGCAGAGAGAGAAGCAGACTCCGTGCAGGGAGCCCGATGTGGGACTTGATGTGAGACTTGATCTCAGGACAGCGGGATCACGCCCTGAGCCAAAGGCAGATGCTCAACTGCTGAGCCACCCAGATCTCCCCGTCTATAAGGTTTTTTTTTTTTTTAATTTTTAAAAAGATTTTATTCATTTATTCATGACAAACACACACAGAGAGGCAGAGACACAGGCAGAGGGAGAAGCAAGCTCCATGCAGGGAGCCCGAGGTGGGACTTGATCCCCAGGTCTCCAGGATCATACCCCGGGCTGAAGGCGGCGCCAAACCGCTGGGCCATCAGGGATACCCCATCTATAAGGTTTTAAAGAGTAACTGACAACTCAGGAGGTAATTGTGCCTTTTAAAGATTTATTTTTTTTATTCATGATAGGCATAGAGGGAGAGAGAGAGAGGCAGAGACACAGGCAGAGGAAGAAGCAGGCTCCATGCAGGGAGCCCGACACAGGACTCAACCGCGGGTCCCCAGGATCGTGCCCTGGGCCAAAGGCAGGCGCCAAATCATGGAGCCACCCAGGGAGCCCCAATAATGTGCCTTTTACAATGGTTCCTGCTAGATTATCTCAGCTCTGCCACTTAAGAGCCATGCAGGGGATCCCTGGGTGGCGCAGAGGTTTGGCGCCTGCCTTTGGCCCAGGGCGCGATCCTGGAGATTCGGGATCGAATCCCACGTCAGGCTCCCGGTGCATGGAGCCTGCTTCTCCCTCTGCCTATGTCTCTGCCTCTCTCTCTCTCACTGTGTGCCTATCATAAATAAATAAAAATTAAAAAAAAAATAAAACTTAATTTACCAATTGTTGTGATTAAATGATACAGTACATTAGTCTTTTGTGAAGCATAAAGTACCATATAAAGGTGCTATGGTATCATGCTATGCTATAAGAGGCACAAAAATGTAACAAGCACTCCACTCCAAAATAATTCTCTCATTGTTCTGTCATGGGACTGAAGAAAGTGACCCTTTGGTTTAAAGCAGTAAGTTTCAAGGAGGTCCCTGTTAACTATAAATGTGTCATATGATACATTAAATAATTGTCATAATAGTTTATCAAGGTTACTTGCAGTGATAGGTCACAGTGGAAAAGATATATTATTGCAAAAATAAAAAAAAAAACCCAAAAGTAGTAAAAGGAAACAAACTACTGATACATGCCACAACATAAATGAACTTCACAAATATGTTGAGTCAAAGAAAGAAAAGAAATTCATACTCTATTATTCCATTTTTGTGCAATTCTAAAATATGTATAACTAAAAAGGACAAAAGGGAATTTTCTGGAGTGATGAAAATGTTCTATATTCAAAATGGTGTGGGCTACACTAATGCAGCTATTTTGCAAAACTAATTTAAAGGAATACTTAAGATCTGATGATTTCACTGTATGTATATTATACTTCAATTTTTAAAAAAGACCATTTACATGTTATTGTGGATATTTTAAAATAGTTATTATATTTTATGCATACAGGCTAAAATATTTATAGATGAAAGGATATATATAATTTTGGGGGCTTAGTAAAATATGAAGGGTGGTGATAAAAAATGGAAAGTGAAGAGCATATAGATGAAACATGATTAGCCATACATTAAAAAAAGGTGACAGTTGGGTGATATTCACATGGAGTCCTATATTCTCTCAGCTTTTGTTTATGTTTAAACATTTTTCATAATAAAGTTGAAAAAGAGAAGGCTCATTTGCATTCAACTCCTCATTTACAAAAGAAAACTGTGAACAGAGGACATAACTTGTTCAAAGTCTCACAGCCAGACAGCAAACCAAACTTTTTCTGATCCCAAGGAAGCAAAATATGAGCATTTGAAAAGGCTGCTTTTAAAAGGGGCAGCCAATAGTGCAAGGATTTGTTTAAGCAATATATATAATAATATATAACATATATTATTAACATATATATACAACATAATATTTATATATATTATATGTATATAAGTGGTTTGGTTTTATTTTTATTTTTATTTATTTTTTTTGGTTTTATTTTTTTTTAAAGATTTTATTTGTTTATTCATAGAGACACACAGAGAGAGAGGCAGAGACACAGGCAGAGGGAGAAGCAGGCTCCATGCAGGGAGCCCGACGTGGGACTGGATCCAGGGTCTCCAGGATCACGCCCTGGGCTGCAGGCGGCGCTAAACCGCTGCGCCACTGGGGCTGCCCAATGGTTTGGTTTTAAAGGATTGTTTTGTAGATTTAAATTGCATTTTACTTAAATTTCTGAACCCAAATGAGTGCTGGGATATGGAAAGCATTTTTGTCTACAAAAAAAAAAAAAAAAGAAAAAAGAAACATAAAACAAAGAAACATATAGCAAAGACTTGTTTTTCCCTTCCAGTGCTAAAATCATCCTCTCAATTCAGGCAAAAACAGCAAATACATTCTGTTAGAGGGAGGAGCTTGGTTCTCCATTCTGGTGTGATCCAGGAACAGCTGTTTTCCCTCCAGCTCTGAAAGGGGTGAAATGTGTTAAGCGATGCAAAGATTGTCTTCAGGCCCGCGCGACTGTCTGCGTGTGCGTGTGTGGGATGGGATGTGTGGGGTATCCGCTCTGAGGGCAACGTGAACCAAATGAGAAAGGGGAGTGGTGTGTAGAAGGGATGAAGAAATTGAATGTGATAGTTCAGGAGAAAAAAAAAAAAACACGCTGGATTCGTCTCCTCCATCAGGCCCTTGAGTGTGGAACGTAAATTCCATTTCAAGAACGCATAACCTTAGCACCGCTTGGTATCGACGGCTGGGGAATATTTATTCCGTGTCCCACTGATGGGAAAAACCAGCGTCTGGCAGCCGCTGATTGGTGGACAAGAAAATGGTGATAGTGGGGTGGGGAGAGGATTCGAAGAGGCTCCTCCTGCCTCAACCTGTAACTCTTCCTTACTAGTGCCCTCTGCATCCGCGGGACCCTTTCGGGCTCATCAGAGGTTAAGAGCCAAGGAAAATCTGGGTGACATTTGAGCAAAAGCATCCTTAACATTGTGCTCATCGAAATTTCAGCGATCCAAGGGAAACGTGCTCCTGGAAGTGGTGGTTGAGCACCGTTCCTGGGCTGCCGGCCTCCTTCGCCAGCCTCCTGGGAGGATGGTCCTCTCTCCGGCGGTGGATCCCTCAGACCTCCACGCCGCCAGGGTGGCTCCCGCCAGGGGGTCCCGGGAGGAAGCAGAGGGAAGGGCGGAGACGGCGAAGGAAGGGGGGGATGGGAACGAGGGAGAAACAGCAGCCTAAGCCTGTCGGCTCCAGATCGCCCCAAACCCCCCGGGTCCTGAACTTGAGGGGAAGCGCGGAATACCTGGCCCCGTCCTATCCCCCCCCCCCCCCCCCGCGGCCCAGGCGGGCGGCTGGACTCGGAGGTACCGCCTGCCCCCGCCCCCATCCGCATCCGAGCAGACGAGTGAGGTGCACGCGGCTGGGAGAGCCGCGAGCGCCGGGAGAGGGGCGGGGAGAGGCGCTGACAAATCAGCTGCGGGGGCGGTGAGCCGAGGAGAAGGAGGAGAAAGAGGAAGAGGAGGAAGACCACGACGACTTGCCGGGGACCCAGGAGAGGGGGTGAGAGACCGAGCGCGGCAGCGTGGGGGCGAGGCGTGTGCTGGCGTTAGGGCCGACCCGCGGACCGAGCCTGGCCCTCAGCATCCTTCGCGCGCTCTCCCTGCCCTCCCTCCCGACCTGTCTCTTTCTCTCCGATCCAGTTGTGCGGGGGACGGGGAGTGGCAATTCGACGACAGGTTCGTGGGTTTGCCTCCCACGCCCCCAGCCTCTCGTCACCGGGTTTTGCTGACAGCAGCCTCCTCGGGGACCATCCCTCTCCTGGTGCCGCCTCCTCCCTTCCTGTGCGCTTCTTATTCTCCCTCTTAATATTTAAATAATATTTGGGATTTTTTTTTTTTTTTTTTGTGAGGGGGTTGGTTGAGAGGAATTGTAGTTGTGAGGATCAGAGGGACCCAGGTAAGTACCTAAGGATCTCAAAACGGGCAGCTTTGGCGATCCTGGGGGAAACCCGGGAGGACCGGGTCGTGCACTTCGGGGGGGGGGGGGGAGGTCGTTGCTGCACTGAGGACCCGCTGAGCCAAGTCTCTCGGAGGTGGGTGCTTATCTCTTCAGGAGCCCGAGGAAAGTAAGTTGCGCTGGCTTTCCCCGGCACCCGATACTCCGCTCTGCCCAGCTCCAGAGGCTGAGAGGATGCGCTGCTTCCCTGGGAAACGCTTTTCCCTTGGGAAACGGGAGGACGCTCGATGGAGCGGGAGCGGCCAACTTTTATTTCTCTTGTACCTTAAATCCCCCAGTCCGCCCCCCACCCCCCACCCCCCAGTTTCCTCGGTGGAGGAATCAAGCTGTGCTTGGCAGTAATTACCTGGAAGTGCAGGGAGGGCAAGTCAACAGGTGGTAAGGGGTTAACAGGTGCGGCGCCGGGCGGGGAGCGAACTCGCGCGCGCGGAGGACTCCCCCCTCGGGCGGCTGGCGCGAGTCGGGGGACGGCTCCCCGGGGCGCCCCGGCGCCCGCTCCGAGTGGGTGGGGGCGGCTGGCGGGGTGCGCTGGGGCGGGCGCCAATCGGCTCCCCGTGGGCCTCAGGTTGAGCCCCACCCAGAGCGAGTAGTTCTCTTCCGTCCCCTCTTGGTTATCAACCAGTTAGCCTTCTTGCGGGATTCATTTTAAGATCGTCCCTGACCCCGTGCCTCCAGCTCCCTTTCTCTTCCTGTCATTTTTTTATACGAACTTCTGACTCACCTGCTCATCGTTTGGACTCTAGGAAGTTGAGAGAGGGGCCCATCTTTTCATGTAACTACACTTCGAAAATACAGTAAGAACAACTGAGATAATTCATCCCAATCCATGTTTAGGCAGCTAGATTTTTACTAGCCAAGATGGATGAGGGGCGCTAAATTTTTAATGCAGAAGCTAAAAAAAAAAAAAAAAAAAAGTGTTGCCCATCCCCCCAGTGGTTGAATAAGAGTATAAATAAAAAGAGTCTCACACTTTTGGGTTGTACTGACTTTCAGTGGTTTTTATCTTGGGTGATTCTAATTTTATTTTATTCCACCCAAAAGTTCTCATTGAAATTGTATTTTGTTCTCTAGTGTGGTGTAAACGAATTCATTAGCCATGGATGTATTCATGAAAGGACTTTCAAAGGCCAAGGAGGGAGTCGTGGCTGCTGCTGAAAAAACCAAACAGGGTGTGGCAGAAGCAGCAGGAAAGACAAAAGAGGGTGTCCTCTATGTAGGTAGGTAAGCCCCATATGTCATCTTGATATTTATTTATGACTGGTGGATTAGGATGATTAATGCTCTAAATGCTGGTACTTCTTGCTTGATTCATTTTTGCATCATCACTTGTCAAAAAGAGAAACCGAGTCAGAGGACTGTAGGTAGGTTAATGTGAGCATTTGAGCTAATAATAAAAAGTGAGGATAACTTTTTGTGTTTTCAGAATATTTAATTTTTCAGTAATACTTAGGACTTTTTAAATGAATAGTTCTGTGCATAAGAGACTATAATTAGGAAAAAGTTTTAAAAACTCAGTCTCAAAAGGTAATTAAGAATATTTTTGAAAAAAAAAGATGGGATGCCCGGGTGGCTCAGCTGTTAATGTTAAGCACCTGCCTTTGGCCCAGGGCGTGATCCTGGAGACCCAGGATCGAGTCCCACATCAGGCTCCCTGTATGGAGCCTGCTTCTCTCTCTGCCTCTGTCTATGTCTCTGCCTCTCTCTGTGTCTCTCATTAATATATAAATAAATTCTTTAAAAAAATATTTTTGAGAAAAAAGAATATTTTTGAGAATCAAAATCATTCATAGGCCTCTGTTTTTTAATCCATCATGACTAATATCAGTAAATTTTAGTGTATTCATGTTTTAAACTAAGACTTTTTGATATGGCCTTAGGATATGTAAAAAGAGGCCTACTGTGGCCCTAAAAAGGAAAGTACAGAACAGTCTTTGGTAGAGTTCATCCTTGTGAGCACTTGGTGAACTGAAGACTAATTGATCAAAAAAGCGCTTGAAGGCTGCTGCTAATATCTCAGAGACATTTATATGTATAATTCACTTGCTTTTTTTTTAAGATTTTATTTATTTATTTATTCATGAGAGACACGGAGAAGGAGAGGCAGAGACACAGGCAGAGGGAGAAGCAGGCTCCATGCAGGAAGCCCAATGTGGGACTCGATCCCAGGTCTCCAGGATTAGGCCCTGGGCAGAAGGCAGGTGCTAAACCGCTGGCGCTAAACCACTGAGGCACCTGGACTGCCCTATAATTCACTTATTAAATAACACACATACAAAGTAACAAGATTGATGCTTATCATTTCTTTTTGTTCCTAAGTTGACACTTTGTAATATTCACACAGATCCTGACTCTTTTTTCATGTCTTGAACTGTGTTAGGTTGGGTGCTATTTTTGCAAATCACTTCAGAGTCTTTGGGGGAAGGAATAGACACATACATACACAAACACTCATCCACAGGGACGTATGCACACACTTACCTTTGCCCGTTCTGCCTCTCTTTCTCTTTGGCTGCTCTGAACTCTTGCACATTCTCTGGTAGCAGCTATAACAGCAGGATGTGCAGTAATGTGGAGGATAAACGTATTGGATGGTATCAGGTGCTATACTTATGTCTGTCGGTGAAATGCCACTATGTTGTCTCTTCAACATGGATACATTGAAAAAGAGTTACATTTGGAATGATTTTTATGAATGCCTCTCCTCTCTTATTTTTTTCATTGCTCGTAGACTTTATTGGCTGACTTTGATACAAATCTTCAGTTAAATTATTCATTCTCTTAAAATATATTTTCAGAAAATCCTTAAATTAAAGAATGTTACAAATGGAAAAAATGATGAGTTAGTTTCAAATGTTTTTGTAAAGTGTGAATTCTATCTTTTTAGATAGAATTTGGAATACTGAATCAGCGATGCGCAGATAATCAATATCTTTATACTTGTCCTTAGTTTTCTAAGTTGTGCAAGCATGTGCTTGCAACTGTTCTTTGATTTCAGTTACTTTATAATTTAATAACTTAAACAATTTTTAGGATGCTAATATTTACTCCATTAGTTTGTAGTGAGTCCAGAAACTATTGAATATTAATACATTGCTGTTTTCTAGATAATGAATAGGTTTTATTATCTGGAAAACTTTTGGTTTTCATTGTCAACTATGATTTTGGACAAATATAATGATTTTTTGAGATTAATTATGTTCTTATGTAAAATTGTAATTGTTTACATGTCACATATATTTTTAAATAATCTTCAATATAGATCATGGTATTTAACACATAGTGCATTCTATAAATTATTTGTTGGTTGTGTTCTGAAGGATAGTTAAAATTTAAACTCAAACACAGGATTTAGGATGAAAACTGACCATGGGAAGACACAATATATAGATCACGATTTGATAGACTTTTTCTGTAAAGTGCTAGGCAGTAAATATTTTAGGCTATAAGGTCTCTGTGTCAAATTAATCAACTCTACTGTTGTGGTAGGAAAGCAGCCATAGATAATAATGTGTTCCAATAAAATAACCTGTGTTCCAATAAAACCTTACTGAAACAGGTAATGGGTTGATTTGGCCCATAGCCTGCAGTTTGTGGACTCCGAGAAAAATAGAGAGAACATAGACTTGATGTCACTCACACAAGCCTACATTCTAGTCCAGACTATATCATTTATTACCTTTAGAATACCATAAAAGTTACTTACCACCTATGAGCTTTACTTCCGTCATTTGTAAAAATATGATTTAGATAAATGCAACTATCTTGCAGAGTTTTTGTGAGGATGTCATAACACATTCTTGCAAAACAGAACACATGAATAATAAAGCACACTTTAAGAAAACTAGACTTTATTTTTTGTAGCAGTTTAGGTTCACAGCAAAATTGAGAGGCAAATAACAGAAGTTTCTCATGTACCTCGTGCCCCCACACATGCATGGCCTCCCCCATGATCTACATTTGTTACCCCCAGAATGGTTCATTTATTAAAATTAATGAACTAACATTGACACATCACAATCACCTAAAACCCACAGTTTACTTTAAGGTTCACTCTTCATGGTATACATTCTTTGCATTTGGACAAATGTGTAATGAAGTATCCATCATTATAATATAATATAGTTATTTTTAGTGTCCTAAAATTAGGCATCACTTATTCATTTCCCTCCACCAACCCCTGGCAACCACTGATCATTTTTTCTGTCTCCATTATTTTACCATTTCCAGAATGTCAGATACCTAGAATCATAAAGTATGTAGAGTTTTAAGGTTGGGTTCTTTCACCTAAAAATATCCACTTCAGGCTCTTCCGGGTCTTTTCATGGTTTGATAGCTCATTTTTTTTTTTTAGCACTAAATACTAATTCCATTGTTTGGATGTATCACAGTTATCTATTCACCTCCTGAGGGACATCTTGGTTTCTTCCAAGTTTTAGTAATTGTGAATAAAACTGATATAAACATCCACATGCAGGTTTTTGAATGGACATAAGCTTTCAACTCCTTGGGTAAATACCAAGGATCACTATTGTTGGATCATATCGTAAGGATATGTTTACTTTTAAAAGGAACTGACAAACAGGGGATCCCTGGGTGGCTCAGCAGTTTAGCGCCTGCCTTCGGCCCAGGGCGTGATCCTGGAGTCCCAGGATCGAGTTCCGCATCAGGCTCCCTGCATGGAGCCTGCTTCTCCCTCTGCCTGTGTCTCTGCCACTCTCTCTCTCTCTCTCTCTCTCTCTCTCTCTCTGTCTCTCATGAATAAATAAATAAAATCTTTTAAAAAAATAGGGAACTGACAAACTGTCTTCCAAAGTTGTTGGACCATTTTGCATCCCATCAATAAAGAATAACAGACCTTGTTGCTTCACATCCTTGTCAGCATTTGGTGTTTGAAAATTCTAGATTTTGATCATTCTAACAGGTAGGTGTGTTGTGGTATTTGATAGTTTTAATTTAACATTTCCCAGATGACATATGATGTGGAGCATCTTATTTGTTATCTATATATCTTCTTTGGTGAGCTATCTGGTAGGATCTTTGGCCTGTCTTTTACCTGGTTATTTGTTTTCTTATTGTTTTTTTGTTTTGTTTTGTTTTCTTATTGTTGAGAGTCCTTTGTATATTTTGGATAATAGTTCCTTTCCAGACAAATATTCTGCAAATATTTTTCTGTAGCCTTTCTCACTCTCAACACTTCCTTTCATGGAGCAGAAAGTTTTAATTTTAAAGAAGTCCAGCTTATTAATTCTTTATTTCATGGATTGTGCTTTTGGTGTTATATCTAAAAGTCATTGCCATACCAGGTCATGTAGGTTTTCTCCTATGTTATTCTAGGAGTTTTAGAGTCTTGTATTTTACATTTAAGCCTATGATCCCTCTTGTGTTATTATTATTTTTTTTTTGTGAAACGTTGTTGTCTAAATTCCTCTCCTTCTCCTGTTTCTTGTTTTTTTCTTTCTTCTTGCATGTGGATGTCCAGTTGTTCCAGCACTATTTGTCAAAAGATTGTCTTTGCTTTATTGTATTACTTTTGCTCCTTTGCCAAAAGTCAGTTGACTATATTTATGTGGTTCCATTTCTAGGTTCTTTATTCTGTTCCATTGGTTTATTGTCTATTCTCTTGCAATTATTTCACTGTCTTGATTACTTTAGCTTGACAGTAAGTCTAAAAGGCAAGTAGTGTCAGACTTATGATTTTATATTTCAATATTATCATGGCTATTTGGGGCCTTTTGCTTCTCCACATACACTTTAGAATCTGTTTGTTGATATCTACAAAATAACTTGCGAGATTTTGATTAGGATTGCATTGAACTATATAGATCAAGTTAAAAGGGACTGAGATTTTGACAGTATTGAATCTTCTCATCCATGAATACAAAATGCCTTTTATTTAGTTTTCTGCTTTTGTTCATCAGAGCTTTGTAGTTCCCCTGATATAGACCTTGTGTTTATTCTGTTAAATGTACACCTAAGTATTTTATTTTTTGTTTTTGTTTTTTTTTAAATAGATTTTATTTATTTATTCACGAGAGACAGAGAGAGAGAGAGAGAGAGAGAGGCAGAGACAAAGGCAGAGGGAGAAGCAGGCTCCATGCAAGGAGCCTGACGTGGGACTCGATCCTGGGTCTCCAGGATCAGGCCCTGGCCTGAAGGCAGTGCTAAACCACTGAGCCACCTGGGCTGCCCAAGTATTTTATTTTTTGATGAAAATATA